ATATATATATATATATATATATATATATATATATATATATATATATATATATATATATATATATATATCAGGATTCACCAAGCTTACATTGTCTATACATTAGGTGCATAAATAGCGTAGTTGTTATATAGGCTAATAGTTGAGCTATGGCCAGTATTATACGTTTATAAAAGTCTGAAATGCAAGTGGAGGAAAAACGTTTCACTGGAATAAATTAAAGTGGAATAAAAACCTTTTCCACTAAATGCATTGCCCTCATTGTAGACTTTGCTAAACAATCAGATTTTGGTGTCAAATAGGCTACATTGTGGAAACACCTAACATCTGCTGTTCTTTTTTCAGCTGTATTATTATTAAATCACTTTAGTTGTAACAATTTATTCGTTGAGTGGTTAGCTGAGACATCATTACAACAGGAACACAAAAGTGTAACTCTATTCAATTCAGTCTTTTTCATAGTTTCATAGAACTGACACCGACTGAGTTGATAGGTTATTAGACCCTGTTAGTGCGCTTCACATGAATCTTGGGTTTTACTGGCGCTTTTGTGTGAAATGGTGAATTGCTGCCCCCTACAGATCATGAGGCTTTAAAAAATCATTAAAATCTTGTATGGAGTGTTTAATTAATACATAATTGAGGTTAGAAGCATAACTTTTAGTAGAGCATTCACTTTATACATGAAACATTAATGAATAAGACAAGTGATAGGGCTAGAAAAATAAATAGGGAAAAAAACGATTAAAATTGTGTTGTTTAGTTTCAGTAATGTTATTGCCATGTAGCATATTTATATGCAAATTCATTAATGATGGAACAAATGAATCTGAAGTTATTTCTGCTTTGAGGCTGAATGTCTCTGCCTGACTGCACAGTGAACTTACCATGAAACTCATTTCAGAGTCTGGGAGACTCATTTCTCCAGGGTAAGCAGATCTAGCCTATATGGCCCTTTCTGCGTGAAAACAGCAGATCATCATCATATCCTCTTGTAATGCCAGACTGTATTGTATTTTATTGTAATTAGAATTGTAGAATTGTAATTTAATAATCAAATTTGAGGTCCTACCCGTGTTCTGTCATTAAGGATGTGCTCAGAGAGGAGAAGCAAGGGAAATATAAAAGTCTCAAGAACCAGAACATGTTTTGGTTATACTTCATTCCAAAAGGAAATAAAGAATATTATAAATGAAGTCTTTGGGACATTTAAAACCATATATGATCACTGCCCATTTTTTGCCCAAATATTTGATGTTATGCCATGTGCTAATTTAAATATAATCTATTTTACAGTATTTCTTACTAATGCAGTGTATTTGTAATATAGTAAAGGGAATATACACTACTGGTCAACAGTTTGGAATAATTAAGATTTTTTTATGCTTTTAAAAGAAGTAATTTATTTGACAAAAAATACAGTAAAAACAGTAATATTGCTAAAAAAATTAATTTTAAAACTTTTTTTATTTGAATATATTTTCGAATGTAATTTATTATGTAAAGCTGAATTTTCAGCATCATTATTCCAGTCTTCAATGTCACATGATCCTTCAGAAATCATTTTAATATGCTGATTTGCTGCTTAATTATTAATGATGGGCCTTATTATTATCAATATTTCAAAAAAATTGTTTTTGCTGCTTAAGATTTTTGAGGAAACAGTGATACATTTTTCAATAGAACAGCATTTATTTGAAAAATAAATATTTTGTAACATTATAAATTGATTTACTATCACGGTTTTCACAAATATAGTACAACTGTACAAAATGTTTCCACCAAATCAGTTCATATATAACGTATATTTAAATGAGTAAATTACATTTTAGATTATATTAAAACATTTATTTTTAAATTGTAATACTATTTCTAGTAATAATAATAATATTATCGTTTTACAGCATTTTAAATCAAATAAATATGGCCTTGGTCAGCATAAGAGACTTTCAAAAACATTACAAATCTTAATTTTTGACTGGTATAGTGTCAATGGAGAATCATCGACATAAAATACACACAAACACACATATAAAAGTAAAACAATAAAACATCCATAGGCATATGAAAATGTCACAATGCAAAAAAAAAACAAAAAACGTAATGGACCTAAAGGTAGGCTGACATTTCTTTATGCAGAATTTAATTACTTATATTTATTCTTTTGATTTTGGAGTGAAATATATGTCCGAAAAATACAACATCACCCAAAAATTTAAATATAATTTACCAACCCTCATGACCTATAAAAAGGTGAATTCCATAGAATGTCCTAATCATGTTTTTCTGCATAGAGAAAGACCAGGTGCTGTCAAGCTTCAAATAAATATAATAATAATATATTCTTAAGTAACAAATCAGCATATTAGAGTTTTCTTAAGGATCATGTGGCACTGAAGACAGGAGTAATGATGCTGAAAATTCAGCTTTACATTACAGAAATAAATGACATTTTAAAAATTAACTAAATTTCCTAAATAAAAAAGCCCAGCTCTAAAACAATTAGCATTTTAAACATTTCAGATCCATAAAAGACAGTGGAAGATCATGTGAGGACACAGTGAGTGTCTAAAACAGTTGTTTTATTGTGTAAAAAAACAACTAGACAGAGAGAGCGTCTGATGGACAGCAGCAGGCTGAAGGGATCGTATTCTGACATGCAGCATGAGGAGCGTCGCAGAATGCCGTTGATTTAAGGCACTAATACTGTTCATGATCCGATACGGCTGAATCTGTGGAGAAAACAGGATTACGTTGTACCTGCATTTGAATTTAAGAATGGCCATAGAAGGCAAACCAATCCCACATCCGTTCCTGTTTCAAATCTGGCCGTTCACAGTGGTCAGTACTTATCTCCTAATTCTTATAAATCTGAGACAATAAATACAGTACATTATTAATAGAGCTATGAATTTGAGGCACATCATTTCATTGGATGAAGTTTGAGAAGACCAGCGCTGGGCTCAGAATATCATAAACCGTAATGGCCGTCCGCCAGGACAATAAATTAACAGCGAAGAGAGGCGAGAAGATGCGTCTATGATGTCTGTGTGTGTTTGAAGAGTGATGCACGTGACAGTTAACGCCGGCGTATGCGTGAGTTTCTCAGGGTAGTGATGCTATGCTATTATGTACATGTGCTATAACGAACGAGTATTACTTTAAGAGCAACATTCAGGTCTTCTTTCAAGTAGTCTGCACACGGGTCGGTGAATGAAGAGTTCGCAGCCAATCAGGGAGAAGAACAAATCGCTGAGGTCACAAGCTTTTCCCTAAATGGACTGTCTCCTCAGTCAGCTCACAGTAAAGGTGGTTATCATGGGTCAGTGGTGAACACGCACACAGACACGTGCTCAGGCAAGAGATTCATGTTTTGTCGCGACAGCCCTTTTAGAGTCACTTCATTTCATCCACCTCTTCTTCCCACATTTCTCCAGTAGTGCAGACGTCCCGTGTGAGCAGTGTTGTGTGTCTGTGTGCACGTGTGTGTCTGGACCTGATTAGAAGTCTGTGTCCCAGCCTGAGTTATCATCAGGCGGTGGGTCTTCAGTGTCCTCAGGAAAGCTGTCAAAGTTACTAGTGTCTGTGGATGATGTTACCTGCAAAACAAAACAAAACAAAAAACTGTCAGCATGCGAGTTATACACTTGTTCACTTCTGTTAAAATTTGGGCCTGTAAGAATTTTTTATTGTTTTTAAAGTCTCTTTTGCTCACCAAGGCTGCATTTATTTGATGAAAATTCAATTAAAAAAAACAGTAATACTGTGAAATAATATTAGAATTTAAAATAACTGTTTTCTATGTTAATATATTTAAAAATGTAATTAATTCCTGAGATGCAAAGCTGAATTTTCAGCATCATTACTCCAGTCTTCAGTGTCACATGATCCTTCAGAAATCACTACACATGCCGTGTAAAAGCGCGTAGTTGAATCATCAAAGTTGCCCCTGTGATTAGGAAAGAATCAGGACTGTTGTGTTGTTGAAATTCAGACAGCAATTGAACGAAAACACGTTGATCTAGAGTGAATTGACAGCTCTCACCTGTCTCTGAGAATAGTCCACAGTTCTCCACCTAAACACACCTCCATCAGCATATACAGGTACTTACTGTCCTTAAATGTCCTATAGAGTCTGAGAAAACAAGAGGAAGACAGTCAAAATGCCATGCTACAGATTCGGGTTGATGTATTTTCACGTTGTCACATTTCTGATGTCAAAGCAAAAAATACCTTGAAATGTACTTGAAATGTAACTTTTTTTCCAGAAAAATCTATCTAATATATTTTTGTTCAATAATATTTTTTTATTATTATTTTGAATTTTGTGATTTTATGATACTATGCTATTTATAATTTTTTTTTTTACCTACTTTTGCCATTCAATTTATATTTTTTCATTCATTTTCTATGTCGGTACTAAGTGTTACTTTTTATTTTTCGACCCTTTACCATATCTGAATCATGTCCATGAATGTTTTTTTTGTGTGTTCACAGCTAATTCGACAAAAGCCAAAATTAAAAAAAAAATGGAAGATGATGACACGTAGAGCAGACACGCATTTTGGCGAGCTCCCGTGACATTAGTTCAAATATTCAGTTTAATATATATTTTCACTCAGTTAAATCATTCTACTTGGTTGGAGGGTTACTGTGCCATGTCTTTAGATCAATATTTTTTAAAAGGATCTGACAGAATGCCCAAAGCTAAGAAGATTGTGCCGAAAAGTTCTACTATCAGCGGCGTCGAGCAGGATGTTAATATGGACGACGCAAGCGTGAATAGTCGTGAGGAGGAAAGCTCCAACTCCAACTTTGCTCAAGCTTTGGACAAATTAACCGAAAACATTACGAAGGTAATAGAACAGGACTGTTGTGTTGTTGAAATTCAGACATCAATTGAACGAAAACACGTTGATCTAGAGTGAATTGACAGGTCTCACCTGTCTCTGAGAATAGTCCACAGTTCTCCACCTAAACACACCTCCATCAGCATATACAGGTACTTACTGTCCTTAAATGTCCTATAGAGTCTGAGAAAACAAGATGCTACAGATTCGGGTTGATGTATTTTCACGTTGTCACATTTCTGATGTCAAAGCAAAAAATACCTTGAAATGTACTTGAAATGTAACTTTTTTTCCAGAAAAATATATCTAATATATTTTTGTTCAATAATATTTTTTTATTATTATTTCGAATTTTGTGATTTTATGATACTATGCTATTTATAATTTTTTTTAACCTATTTTTGCCATTAAATTTATATTTTTTCATTCATTTTCTATGTCGGTACTGAGTGTTACTTTTTATTTTTCGACCCTTTACCATATCTGAATCATGTCCATGAATGTTTTTTTTGTGTGTTCACAGCTAATTCGACAAAAGCCAAAATTAAAAAAAAAATGGAAGATGATGACACGTAGAGCAGACACGCATTTTGGCGAGCTCCCGTGACATTAGTTCAAATATTCAGTTTAATATATATTTTCACTCAGTTAAATCATTCTACTTGGTTGGAGGGTTACTGTGCCATGTCTTTAGATCAATATTTTTTAAAAGGATCTGACAGAATGCCCAAAGCTAAGAAGATTGTGCCGAAAAGTTCTACTATCAGCGGCGTCGAGCAGGATGTTAATATGGACGACGCAAGCGTGAATAGTCGTGAGGAGGAAAGCTCCAACTCCAACTTTGCTCAAGCTTTGGACAAATTAACCGAAAACATTACGAAGGTAATAGATGAGAAGGTGAATACTGTCCTATCCGCGATAAATGATCAGACAGTTCGGTTCCAGGCCTTGGTCGAGGGAGTGGGCGAGGCGGAGGAGCGACTTGCCGGTGTGGAAAATTCGACCGAATGCCTGCAAGCTACGGTTGCTGATCTTCAAAAAAAAGTGAGCGAAATGTCAGCGCATATCGATGATCTGGAGAGGGGCTAGGCAGTTGCCTACAGAAGAAAAGAGTAAGAATAGTCCTTCCTGCATGTTTGGCAGGTTTGTTCCCTTGCATAGTTTTCTGTGTTTTATTGGTATTTTATTTTATTTTTGTTTAAAGCTCAGATTTCTGAAGGGTACACTTACAGGAGTATATTTTGTGATTATCTATATTATGTATCCACTGATTGTCTGTACAGTTTTTAATGTCTAGAGTGCTTAGGATTTGTACTTGGAATAATCGAGGTATGCATAATCCTGTAAAACGAAGAAAGATACTTACTTTTTTGAAAAAAGGATATATCGAAATTGCTCTTTTACAAGAGACTCATTTGAGTGACGTAGAACATTTAAAATTACAACAGGGTGTTTTTGGGCAGATATATTTTTCATCTTTTACATCTAGAAGTAGAGGTGTTGCTATTCTCATTAAACGTAATTTACCATTCAAAGTTTTAAACTGTATTAAAGATATGGACGGTCGCTATGTTATTACTGAAGGTGTGTGGCAAGGTAAAACTATTCTCATACTAAATATGTATTATCCTCCAGCTCATCCATCTGACTTTGTTACTAAAGTGTTTTTGGACATGATTGCCAGGCCAGCAGATATAACTATTGTTGGGGGAGATTTTGTGTAATGAATCCTCTTGTAGATGGGTACCCACATAGCTCTGCATCTCTAACTGCTCAGGCGAGATCTCTTCAGAATATTTGTAAAGATTGGTTTTGTAGATGTCTGGAGAACTCTTCACCCTGCTGATAAGGAATATAATTTTTTTTCTACATCCTATCATTGTCAGTCAAGATTAGATAACTTTTTTATGCCGTAAACAGATTTGCATTTAGTTGTTCTATACAGTGGAGACTTAATATTGCCACCCTTAGAGACATTTTCTGTTTACTTTTCTTCTGAATTTAAACATTTTCTATCTATTAATTCTTTATCCACAGATAATCCATCTTTATTATGGGAAACCTGTAAAGTTTATGCAAGAGGGCTAATTATTTCATATACTTCCTCCAAAAAACGTCAAAGAATGGCGAATCAAAGGGCCTTGGAAGCTCAGTTATTGGTTAAAGAAAAAATGCATAATAGATCTCCTTCAGCAGATTTATTGAAAGAATTACAAGCAGTTAGAGCAGCTCTAGATTGTCTTCTCACTGTGGATGCAGAGAAGAAAATACGATACTCAAAACAAACATTTTATGAGCACGGAGACAAGCCTGGGAAATTTCTAGCATATATTGCCAAACAACGTGCAGCATCTCGTATCATATATCGCTACAATTGTTGATTCAGATGATAATATTTTTCATGATAATAAGAATAATAATAATTCATTTAGGGATTTTTTTTTATATAAATCTATATTCTTCTGAGAAAACAGGTGACCATCTCAAACAAATGGTTGACTTTTTTTTCTGAGATTACTCTTCTAGCAATTTCAGTTACACAAAAATAATTTCTCAATGGCCCTATTATTAGACAGGAGGTTATTAATGCTATTAATGCTCTAAACAAAGAATGGTAAATCACCGGGGCCAGATGGGTTTTGCGGAGAGTTCTTTAAGGAGTTTCAAGAGTTGCTAGCAGACACATTGGTTAATATGTTTAATTATTCGTTTGTGGTTAAATAATTAACAAAGACCCTTGGAGAAGCTTATATCTTGCTTATATTAAAGAAAGGTAAAAGTCCTGACATATGTTCTTCTTACAGGCCAATTGCATTACTGAATGTTGACCGGAAATTGCTTTATAAAATTTTAGCAATGTGCTTTGAAAAAATTCTGCCTACGATAATTGGAACTGATCAAACATAATTTATACAGGGTAGAAATGCATCTGATAATATTAGATGCCTTTTAAATGTTATTTACACCTTTAAAGTGAAATCCATAGATGGGCTAGTACTGTCTTTGGATGCGGAGAAGGCGTTTGATCGGATTGAATGGTCTTATCTTTTTTTTGTTTTGGATAAATTTGGCCTAGGTAAAAATTTTGTGCAGTGGATCAGAGTGCTGTATACAGACCCATGTTCTGCTGTATTGACGAATGGCTTTAGATCAGATTATTTTCCTATGCATTATCGGCATTTGGCAGGGTTGTCCCCTGTTGCTGCTTTTATTTGCGATGGCTATAGAGCCTCTAGCTGAAGCAATCAGATCTGCAAAATCTATTTCAGGTTTACAGATAGGACATATACATCATAAGATTGCATTGTATGCTGATGATGTATTGCTTTTTTTATCTGAGCCTGAGAAGTCAGTTCCCGCTCTAATTGAGTTGATTGACTGGTTCAGTACCTTTTCTGGTTATAAAGTTAATTTAACTAAATCTGAAGCTATGCCTTTAGGTACTCTTATTTCTAAACCTAACACTGTGCCCTCTTTTCCTTTTAAGTGGTCACCTCTAGGTTTCGTCTATTTGGGTATTTCTATCTGTACATCTTTGAAGCTGATGTATGAATCTAATTTTGGTTCTTTTATTTGAGAAAATACGGCAGGATTTAGAACGTTGGAATTCCTTGCCAGTATCTTTGCTGGGTTGGATAGCACTTGTAAAGATGATTGTGTTACCCAAATTGTTATATCCTATTCGAATGGTTCCGATACGGTTTTCAAATAGGGCATTAAAGGGCCTGAATTGCTGGATGACTTCTTTTATATGTAGTAAACGCAAACCTAGATTAAAATTATCAGTACTTTATCTGCTAAATTCTATGGGGTGGATGGATTTTCCAAATATTAAGATGTATCAATGTATTCCCACCTGAGATACATTGCAGAGTGGGTTAGGAATGATACTTCCTCTACTTGGTTAGATATTGAATCCTCCTTTTCACAATTTCCTTTAAGAGCTCTTCTTTTTGTTAAGAGCTTTCAAAACATAAAAGAGATATATGATAATCCAATTATAGTTAATACTCTGAAAGCATGGAGATCAGTCTGTAGGCTTGAAGGTAGATCTAAATTTCTTTACCCCAATATTATAAATCCTGATTTCACCCCAGGAATTTTGGATGATGGGTTTAAACGTTGGTGTAATTTGGGATTTATTAGGCTAGGGGATATGTTTTCAGATAATAATTTGTGGAGTTAACTCAGAAGTACCAGTTGTTCAAACATGATTTTTTTCGATTCCTCCAATTGAGACATTGTATTACTAATAACACAACACTTGTTAGAAATTGTGAGATATCTTCTATTGAGAGGTTATTATTTTTATCATCGGGAAAAATGTCTTTGGGTAGATTTTATGGTGCTGTGTGTTCAATTTCTTCTGCACATACACAGACAATTAAAACTAAATGGGAGGAAGAGTTAGCTACTGATATTGATGATGAAACATGGGATGACATTTGGTCTTATGCTAAGAGAATATCTGTTTGTGCATGTACAAGAGAAATACAATTTAAAATCATAAATAGACTCCATATTTCTCCTAACCGCAGGCATTTTTTTAACCCCTCTCTATCGCCTATGTGTTTAATACAGTGAAAATTCAATAAAAATATTTATTAAAAAAAATAAAATTAGAAATGTAAAAAGTGACCAAAGAGACCCATAGGGACCAAATGGACTGTTATCAATAACTGATATTAAACCATTTAAAAAAGAAAAACATTTTATTTCAGCTAGTTACCAAGGCAAAATTCAAAATTTTTGTTTTGAAGTTGAAGTACTGAAATAACTAAAATAAACTAAAACTACAAACTAAATAGAATAAAAACTCAACAAAATTACTTAAACTCTAACATGCAAACTTTAAAAATGTAAAATATAAAAATAAAATCTAATTCAAAATATAACAAAAACTACAACAATATATCACTAACACTAAACTGATACTGGATATAAATCACTGAAGTGTACTGTAGCAGTAGGTGCAGATCACTGGAGGTACCTGACTATAAAGTCTGAATGTGCCTCCTGCATGATCAGTTTCTCAGAGCGGATGTGCTCCTGCTGTCTCGTGTCCACAATGTGGCGCTTCTTTAGGATCTTCATCGCAAATGTCTTCATCTCATCGCTCTTGAGCTGCACCTGAGAACAAAACAAGGGGAGTTAAAACTATTACTTCAACTTTTTATTTGTCTCACACACAATTATATCTGAATGAAGGACTATAATATTATTAACTATAATTGAAATACACAATATGATCAAAAATCCACAGTGACATCATAATTTGGAGAAAAATGCACACTTTTTTATAATCAAAACATAATGCACTGAAAGCATGACGTTCTGTGTTACCAGCTCAACACGGCCAAATCCTCCAACGCCAAGAGTGTCGATGATGTTGAAGTCAGACAGGTTTAAGTTGGAGAAGAATGCATTCTCTGCCTCGTATCTGCATTTCAACAAGCAGAAAAAAAGTGGATTAGAAGAAAAGTGAATGGAAGAAAAATTGTTGTTATTCCCTCTGTCTGTCTGTAGTGGGGCAACCCAAATCTTGATAAGCAAATCAAAACTCAAATCTCATGTAATTTTCATCACCCTTTGTCTAGATCACAGCACTGCACAAGCAAGATATATTCTGAAACTTCATAAGGTGCATTCTGGGATGCTTTTTAAACAGTATTGAATAGTAACTAAACAGGATTATTTACATACTGTATGTGCTGGGTGGTTGCTTTTCCTTCACTAGCTGATTATTATTAGTATTATTATAGTTTTAAGTCCTGCAGGGCAAGGTAAACGTACCTCATTGAGTCTAAATGTTACTATTTATTTACTGTCTGTTATGTATAACCCAAAAAAATGGGATAAAAAAATGTAGAAATTTGGGAAACAATTATGGGTTACTTTTTGTTGTTATAATATAATATTTTATATTGAATGCAACCAACAGGAATGCAACCAATCACCTTCATAAAAATAGTTTTGTTCACCACTGATATTTGCAATCATACAGATGATTTATTAGAGGTCAGAATGGCATAAGGATTCTGTAACATTGCAAATAAAATGCTGCTGGATGTCTGTTTGCAGACTGTCCTGTGACCTGTGATGGTCATATTTTCCTCCAGTCAGAGTGCTTATTCAAGCCCATGATGCAGAACTGGCCAATCAAATCCCTTCGCTTGAGCCATGGCCAATGACACGATTGAGCTGCTGTTTAGCTTGGCAAAAACCGCTTTGCAGTGTCACACAGAGGTTACGATTTTCCATGCACACATACACAAAGCGTGCTTTAGATATTATTCAATCCTTTTCACATAATCAGTTATTAGGCTGGCAGGATCAGAGATGTGCAGCGCTGGCATGTTCTGCAATGCTGGAGATGTTTAATGTCTCACACCAGCTGCACGTAAAATAATATATTTAAAATTTGATAAATATTTTAATACATATTTTAATACATTTGGATTGCACAAGGTGACATTTTAATCCAGCTTTCAGTCCTTTCAGCCATCTGAAAACATCCCCTGCATTCAAATGCATGTCGCATGTCTTAAGTGAATCAACCAGAGCATAACTGAGATTAAAACTCTCAAGGAGGAAACAGGCACGTGTATGTGTGACCATCAGTGAGAAAAAAAGTGAAATTCGTAACACTGGTGCTAGCCTCCAGCCTTCTTTGTGCTCATGCATGCTGATAAAAAGAAACACTGACATGAATTTAACATTTCTGCTGGACAATTTACTGATATTTTATGCCTGTGGAATCAACAAAATAAGTTTTAAAACTGCTTTGATTATAATATTAACCTGGAAGGCACTGCTGATTAAGCACATGTGACGCTCCAGGGTCATGGCTTCTCATTTGATTGACCACAAGGTGGCAACATGGAACTTTATAGGTTCTTTATGGACCACATCTAATGTATTTTGCAATGCCTTGATTTCCACTGTATGTGCATTACTGCAACTAAAAGTGTTTTTTTTTTTTTTAAATGGAAGGATCAGTAAAAATTATTTGTACTATGATTAATAATAATACAAATTTAATTTAATGATACCTATTTAAATTAATATAATATGTAAATTATATTAATAAAATAACATTTTAAATAAGTAAAATATATTTTTTAAATAATTATTTGTAAAAGTAAACAAACAAATATTTTAATAAATTTGGTGATATTTTGTCTTTTGTATTTGCAATGGCTTGATATCAATTGTACATGCATTACTGCACATTTATATATATGTGACCCTGGACCACAAAACCAGTCATAAGGGTACATTTTTTTAAATGTAATTTGACTATTTGAAAACTATTTGAAAATCTGGAATACGATGGTGCAAACAAAATCAAAATATTGAGAAAATCCTCCTTGAAAGTTGTCCAAATTAAGTTCTTAACCATGCATATTAATAATCAAAAATTAAGTTTTGATATATTTACGGTAAATTTACAAAATATCTTCATGGAACATGATCTTTACTTAATAGCCTAATGATTTTTGGCATAAAAGAAAAATCTATTAATTTTGACCCATACAATGTATTGTTGGCTATTTCTACATATACACCTGTGCGACTTATGACTGGTTTTATAGTATATATACACACATACACACACTGCATATATATTTTAATATGAAGCCAAGAGGAATGTTCAAAACTTGATAACAGTCAATATTTTTGCATTTCTGTTTGGTGCTCCTAGTGATGCAGAAATGACACCTTAAGTGCAGAAGAGCTGCACACACTGATCTCATTAGAGTGTTCTCTAGCTGTCAGTGTGGCAGCTGGAGATTTATTTACAGGTTTGAAGTTTGGATCACGGGGGACGCAGTGCAGGAGGTGACATCTGTAGATGTGTCTTAATAAGCTTTAATCTATGACAGTCACACAGGCTACAGACACCTCTTCATTATTCATCAGAGCTCATTTACATTGCAGATGAGCAGATAAGAGGAAAAGTTTCTATTTCGGTTCAGAATATGACACAGAAGGGATTTTTGCAGCGGGAACTGAGTTTCTGAACTATCCCAGAATCCCTCTTTCACTCTCTCTCAGTGAAATGTGATAAGGTTTCACATTTCTCTGAGTGGATTATTTTCTCATCGCTGCACAATGATTGCATCGCATTCTCATCATGTTTCTTCAGATTATGAACAGTTGCTGGTTCTTATATAACATGTCTTCTGCATGCTAGCACAGCCTTTTCTGCTTTACAGCTCTAGAGTTACAGTAAACATCCTTGAGCTGCCCTTTGACAACTGCATTGTAATGGTTGCCATTGTTGCTAGACTAGTTTGCATTTTACTAGTACCAACCTAATCAGACATAGGCTACCGTTGACAAGTTTGGGGTCAGTAAGATTTATTTATTCATTCTTTCTTTTATTCATTATTAAGGATGCATTCAATTGATGAAATGTGACAGGAAAGACATTTATAATGTTACAAAAGATTTATATTTTGAATAAATGCTGTTCTTTTGAACTGTCTATTCAAAGAATCCTAAAAAAAATGCATCAAGGTTTCTACAAAAATATTAAGCAGCACAGCTGTTTTCAACACTGCTAATAATAAGAAAATGTTTCTTGGGGATATATGAGAATGGTTTCTGAAGAATCATGTGACACTGAAGACTGAAGTAACGATGCTGAAAATTCAGCTTTGCATCACAGAAATACATTACATTTTAAAATATATTAAGATTGTAAACATCACTTGAATAATTAAATTGTATTTTAAAGTTATTTTAAAACTGTTTTTGCTGTATTTTCGTCACATAAATGCAGCCTTGATGAGCATAAGATACTTCTTTCAAAAACCTTAAAATGTCTTACTGACCACAATCTTTTGAATGGTAGCATAACCATGTTCTCAACAACATCTGGTCTCAAACAAAACTCAACTGAACAAAAAAACAAAACGCCTAATGATTTTTGGCATAAAAGAAAAATCTATTAATTTTGACCCATACAATGTATTGTTGGCTATTTCTACATATACACCTGTGCGACTTATGACTGGTTTTATAGTATATATACACACATACACACACTGCATATATATTTTAATATGAAGCCAAGAGGAATGTTCAAAACTTGATAACAGTCAATATTTTTGCATTTCTGTTTGGTGCTCCTAGTGATGCAGAAATGACACCTTAAGTGCAGAAGAGCTGCACACACTGATCTCATTAGAGTGTTCTCTAGCTGTCAGTGTGGCAGCTGGAGATTTATTTACAGGTTTGAAGTTTGGATCACGGGGGACGCAGTGCAGGAGGTGACATCTGTAGATGTGTCTTAATAAGCTTTAATCTATGACAGTCACACAGGCTACAGACACCTCTTCATTATTCATCAGAGCTCATTTACATTGCAGATGAGCAGATAAGAGGAAAAGTTTCTATTTCGGTTCAGAATATGACACAGAAGGGATTTTTGCAGCGGGAACTGAGTTTCTGAACTATCCCAGAATCCCTCTTTCACTCTCTCTCAGTGAAATGTGATAAGGTTTCACATTTCTCTGAGTGGATTATTTTCTCATCGCTGCACAATGATTGCATCGCATTCTCATCATGTTTCTTCAGATTATGAACAGTTGCTGGTTCTTATATAACATGTCTTCTGCATGCTAGCACAGCCTTTTCTGCTTTACAGCTCTAGAGTTACAGTAAACATCCTTGAGCTGCCCTTTGACAACTGCATTGTAATGGTTGCCATTGTTGCTAGACTAGTTTGCATTTTACTAGTACCAACCTAATCAGACATAGGCTACCGTTGACAAGTTTGGGGTCAGTAAGATTTATTTATTCATTCTTTCTTTTATTCATTATTAAGGATGCATTCAATTGATGAAATGTGACAGGAAAGACATTTATAATGTTACAAAAGATTTATATTTTGAATAAATGCTGTTCTTTTGAACTGTCTATTCAAAGAATCCTAAAAAAAATGCATCAAGGTTTCTACAAAAATATTAAGCAGCACAGCTGTTTTCAACACTGCTAATAATAAGAAAATGTTTCTTGGGGATATATGAGAATGGTTTCTGAAGAATCATGTGACACTGAAGACTGAAGTAACGATGCTGAAAATTCAGCTTTGCATCACAGAAATACATTACATTTTAAAATATATTAAGATTGTAAACATCACTTGAATAATTAAATTGTATTTTAAAGTTATTTTAAAACTGTTTTTGCTGTATTTTCGTCACATAAATGCAGCCTTGATGAGCATAAGATACTTCTTTCAAAAACCTTAAAATGTCTTACTGACCACAATCTTTTGAATGGTAGCATAACCATGTTCTCAACAACATCTGGTCTCAAACAAAACTCAACTGAACAAAAAAACAAAACTGAATATCTTTCAGAAACATAATGCCTTGAACAAACGGGCAAATACAGTGACTACCATAACTGTAACAGCTTGGAAGCCTGTAAATATGACTTTGTTTCTCATCACTTGCCAACTGATAAACCCAGTTTGCATTTAGAAATTGTAAAAAAGCTAACAGATTATTGGAGCAATTTTTCTGTGCAATATGCATCACTAACTCAACTAACATACTGTCCACAATACTTTTGATAGTGTTATGTCATATCATAAAAATATAAATTTTCCTTGTGGTGATGAAGTGATAATGAAAAAATATTATAAATGGATCTGGCGGAAGAAAACATAATAATAACATGTCTTCAGAGATGATTTCACCTACTTTGCGTCTGCCTCTGCGTCTTCACTGCCTTTGTTGGACACATCTTCCAGACCTCCAATCAGGTGTTTGTATGAGCTTAAAAAAATAGCACAAACAGCATATTCAGAAAGATTTAATCTTAATTACAAATACACTACTGTTCAGGAAATCAGCAATACTGTGAAATATTACTACAATTAAAAAAAAACTGTATATATATATATATATATATATATATATATATATACACACACACACATATATAATCTTCTGCCTTAAAACTGATGACAATTTCATTAGAGACACGTCTAACATGAGAACGTATCAGCACAAAACTGCCATTTATCTTTCGAGAATGAACTCTTGTAAAGTTGAAGATCTATCCCTCAAATGACTCTTAATTATTATTTCATGTCTCTTTCTTAAATTAGAAAGTCAGTACTAATGTATAGTGAAACTTGTATATATAAATGAAATACTTTTGAAATTTATATTGAATATTTATATTTAGATTGAAATGTACCATAATCAGCTGTCACACAGATGGCTGATGGTTTGAGTCTCAGTCAGACAGGAAAGAGAGTTTTCCCCGCCGGAGGGCACATATGTGCTTCTCTCTCTCGGTCTGTCTCACTCTTTCCAGCTTATTGACACATGTGACACTTTAGCTATTTAGGTTGAGCTTGATTTATTGAGTTCTATAAGGGAGCAGATAAGCACTTCAAACCCCACAGATTCTGTGTCCCACACACACACACACACACACACACACACACAAATAGAAAGACCAGTGTAAAATCCACTGATGTTCAATGAACTGGAAAACCTGGACTGAATTACTTCTGCTGGAATGTCAATGACACTTGTGATGTTTTAAGCAGCGTACACAAAGAAACTTTTGCCACAGGATATACGTAACATATACTCACTCTCTGTCAATCACAAGGCAGGTGACAGACTCTGCTGCGATGACATTAGCTGTTCTGATATCCTCCCTGTTCAAAAAACACAGACAGAGAAAAAAAATCATGTTAGAACGTTCTCATACATTCAAAATATACACATAAACATATAAGACTGTTAATTAGGATAATAAAAATATTAAAATAATGTACATATCAATTAAATAATTACAAAGATATTATAAATGTAAATATATTAGTTTAAATATTACAACTACAATAAAATATTGTAATAATTTTTTATATTTAATTAAAATTCTAATACTATTAAAATAATTATAATTATAGATAAATGTATATGTTAATATGAATTCAAATATTAAAGCTATTAAAATGAATTATAAATATCCTAAATATAATTACAAATGTACAATACTATTAAAATTATACATAAATATTACAATTTTTATGTATAGTAATAAAACAACACAGAAAATTAAAACAACAAAAAAATATGATTTTTTTTACATGCATATAAAGAGAAATATAAATTTATAATCAATTGTGTATGCACAATTTATATTAGTTCACAAAATTACAATTAATTTTGACTTAAAATCATGAGTCAAATAAGTTACTAAAATATCAAAATGATCAGTTTCAGCTCAAAGAATTAAGTCCGCATGCCTCAGAGTTTGCTGATTGTCCTCTTCCTCACTGTCGCCCCAGTCGCAGTCATCAGAGTCTGAATCCCACTCTGACCTCATGATGCTTTGTGTTTTCACTTACCGTCTGACCTGAGCGCAGCTATACGCATGCATATACTACTACAGTACACTACACTTCTATTTACACTAAAACAATCACTGTGACATCTGTCCCATCATTGGCAGTTCTATCCGGAGGAAGAACTCTCACACACGAATCTCTGAAAGCAAAAAGGGCTGGACACTAAACGGTAAACACACACCTAAACACACATGCACGCGCAGTGTCTGCTCCTGTGTCCAACTGCAAATACTGCCGAACACCACACACACACAAACACACACACCGGATCCATTTCCAGCAAAACACACTTGTACTTGCAGAGGTGAGAATTCTTCACAACACATCGGCTCTAAAGCTGTCACAGCACAAATACACAATAACGCTACAGCAAAGGTCACAGCTGCTGCACAATATTACTGAAAAAGAGGAGGAAAATCTGTTTTCATTTACTCACTTCCAATGACGTTCTAAACCCATATAAATTTCATTCTTCCTTGAAACACAAAATATATTTTTGCAGAATGCTAAAATAGTTTTTTTTCCTTAAAACAGCTACTAAGCTAAACATGCTTAAATTAAAATGCCTAAAGCTAAAGGACAAAAACTACCTTTATATACGGAATGCTTGTACAGTGCTTTTGTTTTTGTAATGGAGCCAAACTGTCCTGATCCCTATTCATGTTCAATGTTTTTTTTTTTTGTATTGTATTTTTGTATTTTATGATAGTGTTAAATTTGTCAGTTTTTTATTTAGTCTTGGTCCTGTGTTAAATGTCTGTTTTAGTCTTTGACATGTTTAGTCAACCAGTGCTGTTTTTGTTTAGTCTAGTTTTATTTGACTAAATGTCTGGGAATTTTAGCCTAGTTTTAGTCTAAGAAAACTATTAGACATGCTGCACAATTGTTAAACAGATAATCACAATTATTTTGCTCAATTACTATCGTAATTACCGATCATGATTGTTGTTAGGGTTGGGTACCGAAACCCGGTACCAATATGGCACCGGTACCTATGTAACCGGTATCTACTAGAACTGAATCAGAACGCAGATTTTGGTGCCATGCCTGAGCGATCGATTGAAATATTTGTCCTCTGGTTCTCCGAAGCATCACCACCGGCACCGCACGTGAAAAATAATTTCCCGACTGAGAAAACGCACGTGAACTCAAGTCGGAAAGCTCTAATAATACAAATCCAACAAATCTTTGTAGTAACGAGTGTCCAACTGTCCATGTTGTTTCCACATTCCGACTTAAAAGCACAACTCGGGAAATGAGAGCATCCGAGGAGCGCGTGAATGCAGTAATTACACTTGCTCTGATGGCAGCAGGTAGCCTTCCGTTAACTAAGCTAAACATACTTAAATTAAAACGCCTAAAGCTAAACTTCCCTTGTATTCACATTTCTAAACCTGTTGTCCAACAAAAGAGACCATTATAACCTTTTTACTCCACAACACCAGTCAAATGCTTCCTTTTGTGATCTGATGTGGCTTCTTGTCACAGAATGAGGCAGAAAATATGTTCCATAGGCTACTTTAAAAAGAATACATCGATTAGCAATAGATTATAAATTAGGGTGACCATACGTCCTCTTTTTCCCAAACATGTCCTCTTTTTGGACCTACTTTTAAACTGTTGCCATGGGTTGATTTTCCCAAGTGGGTTAAAGGTTTGAAATATTGCATAAATTACATATGACTGAAATGCTTGTATTGAAACATTTTGCATTCTACCTATGATAAAACATTCATGGACTTCTACATTAACTGTTCCCTCCTGGTGGAATGACCTGCCCAGCTCAATCCACGCAGCTGAGTCCTTAATATTTTCAAGAAACGGCTGAAAACACATCTCTTTCATATTCATTTGACCCTCTAACTCTAGCATTCTCTATTCTAATACTACTTCTAATTTTGTCTGCTTGTTTTTTTAATTACAAAACTTGACCCTCTAACACTAGCATTCCCTATTCTTTTTCTATTCTTTCTACTTGTTTTCTTTTTATTTATTATAAAAACAAAATAAGCAAACAAACAAAAAAAAAACCTTGCTACATATACTGTTAGGTGAAGCCCCGCTAACAAACCCCACCCCCTACTGTCCTTTTTTTTTGGAAAATATGGTCACCCTATTATAAATATACTTAATTATTATGAAAATACCAGCGATGGCTTAAATAACACAGATAAACTATATTGTCGCAGTCGAGTGTTTAT